CGTCTTATGAGGAGTGGCTGAGGGAGCTGGGGTTGTTTAGTCTGGAGAAGAGGAGGCTGAGGGGAGACCTTATTGCCCTGTACAACTACCTGCAAGGAGGTTGTAGTGAGGTGGGGGTTGGTCTCTTCTCCCTAGTAACAAGTGATAGGACGAGAGGAAACAGCTTCAAGCTGCGCCAGGGGAGGTTTAGGTTGGATATCAGGAAAAATTTCTTCATCAAAAGGGTGGTCAAGCATTGGAACAGGCTACCCAGGGAGGCGGTTCAGTCTCGATCCCTGGAGGTATTTAAAAGAAGGGTAGACGTGGTGGTTGAGGACATGGTATAGTGATGGACTTGGCAGTGATAGGTTAACGGTTGGACTCGATGATCTTAAGGGTCTTTTCCAACCTTGACGATTCTATGATTCTATAACATCTAACACCAATATTGAAGCATCAGTGAAATAACTTAAAAAAAAAATCTATTAGGGAATGGTGAACACTTTCAATAGGCTAATGAAGAGTGATATAAAACTTCTCTGAAGCAGTCTTCTCTAGAATCTAAGTCTGATCTTCTTTAAACACATATTAACTATGTTTTCCAATTTTAAAAGTCTTACCTTGCAAGGTTGAAGATATTGTTGATCAAATTGGCTCTGTCTTTAGGACTCAGAGCAGCGTGGTTTTTTTTCAACAGATCAATCAGCGTTTTCCAGTCTTCAGCATAGTGCACTATGTAATAACCATTCATACCCACATTGAACTTTACCCATTCCACCTCTTCTGGAAGTTCAATGACAGCTAATGGACAAACAATCAGTTAGCAGCAGAAACAAACTTTTGGCAACTCTTCATTGAAATCCAGATCTATGAAGCAGACTAGTTACAGAAAGTCAATAAAGCCTTTTCCACCCGCTAGTTTCCCCTACTATGAAGAAGGAATAGGCAGTACAAATGTTCAACAAGAGGGCTCCAAAATTCCAGGTTGTACTTCTTCCTCATTCTTCCTACATCTGATTGAATGAACAGTATCACAATCTGCCTGGAGTTGTATCTATGCAGTTAATTACTTAGTGCAGTAATTTTTCTCCTTCTCTGCAGTCCTCCTTTCAGACAACCCCACCTCCTCTCTGCCCACTTTCATTATATATATATATATATATATGAATATACATATACATATATACATATAAGAAGCAGCTACACACATCATATAAAGAAATAGAGAAATAGAGACAGCATTAAGTAGATGAAAGCCCATACTCTAGTTTCAAAGTGAACTAGGTACAAGAAGAGAGGCTTTGGGAAAAAGTTCTTCATTTCAGTTGCTTCTATAGCTACTGCCAAAAACATCAATTTGCACAGCACCTGCAATGCCTTTGAAATTTAGTAAATACTCTACCCCAAACTCTTTTGTACATATCATATCATATCATATCATGTACTTTCATATCCTCCACATCCAAGTTTCTACAGTGAGTGAGGAATTAGTACGTCAAACATGGGACCACCAACAGGGCCATTTATGTGAAACAAAAATGATGAAATCAGGCTACATACTTATTAGTTCTAGTAAGATCAAGAACACATTCAATTAAACAGCTTTGTTTTTCCATTCTGATAATTCATAATATTTTTTTATAAGACTCCATCTCAAATGAAAAAGGCCATGAATAACTTGAAAGCTTTGTAAAACCAATGTCAGAATTACATAAATCAAAATGATTTACTTTAATTATAGTACTTCTAAAGTCATTTTAGAGGGCTGGCAGTTTGTAAAAATCAGTAAACAGTAAAAATGTCAAGATCAGCTCTAAGAATTTTATTTTAAATTTGTATAGTTTTATTTCAAAAAGTAGAGGTGCAAGATAGGTTCATGAATTAAAAATAATTGCCAGTTAAATGCACCAAATAGTAACTTTAACAGGGAGAAGAAAATGCATCAGTAGACATAAGATGATGAGTCAGACCAGTTTCAATAAAATGCAAAAAACCTATTCATGTCGGTGGACAGAGGTAGCCAGTGATTTTAGCACAATATTACACAAAAGTGTACAGTGACTATTCACTTGGTAAGGAAAAAAACAGGGCTTAATTAAAAACAAACAAACAAACAAAAACCAAAACTCAAACCAAACCACAAAAAAAACCCCAAGACACCAAAACAGAATGTAGACTAGCAATTTAGGATTCAAACTAGCCACTGCAGCAAAAGCAGAGAGTTTCTGTGAAAAGATCTAAGGGTTTTAAGTTCTACAACAGCATTCTCAAAAACTTAATCTGTTCCAGATGCAATATTTTCTTATACCATTTTAAGAAAATAAATAATATTCCAGTGGAAAGTGACTTCCTCACATTTTAGTACACTGGCAGAGCAACTCTCCCATTACTCACTCTATAAAGGACATGCAGTTTGAGAGATCTTGTGCATGCACTGGGATGAAAAGAGTACAGGTTTTTACAAATTCCAAATCTGTGCTTCTGCCCCAGCTCCTGCCATTTACTTGTACATACAATGCTATAGGGAACTGACTCTCTAATGATGACACCACCAGTAGTACTTGGCTCTGTAATTATTTTGTACTACATATGCCTTCATCTTCACATCTTACGTGTGTGCTTGGAAAGATCAGTAATCTATAACACTTAAGTAACTTGCTACCAAAATTTTGAGTCACATACCTGACTTTTGGTCCAGTAAATATGCATTAGTACAATGGGTAAAGTTGCAGCTACTAGTTATGTAGGTGAGAGGAATATGCCACAGATAACTGCAAAGGAAAGCAAATGTTTACTGACATATTATACACGTACTATTTGTCTTGAAGGGTTTGTTTTGTTTTGTTTTTTAATTTAAACACTTTAATATATTAGTAGTAGTAGAACCACTGTATGCTGTGTAAAATAATAAAAGTATAAATCTCACTCATATAATCAGAATATGATAAAAGAATACATGTACAGCATGTACAGTAATTATTTTTTTTATTTCCACTGTGTTGAGAATCATAGAATCACAGAATGGTTTGGATTGGAAGGGACCTTTAAAGGTCATCTAGTCCAACTCCCCTGCAATGGGCAGGGACATTTTCAACTTGAAGTTGCTCAGACCCCCGTCCAACCTGACCTTGAATGTTTCCAGGGATGGGGCATCCACAACATCTCTGGGCAACCCTTTCCAGTGTTTCACCACCCTCATCACAAAAAATTTCTTCCTTATATCTAGTCTGAATCTACCCTCTTTTAGTTTAAAACCATTACCCCTTGCCTTATCACTACAGGCCCTGCTAAAAAGTCTGTCCCCATCTTTCCTTTAAGTATTGAAAGGCCACAATAAGGTCTCCCCACCGCCTTCTGTTCTCCAAGCCGAACAACCCCAACTCTCTCAGCCTGACCTCATAGGAGAGGTGTTCCCTCCCTCTAATCATTTTTGTGGCCCTCCTCTGGACCTGCTCCAACAGGTCCATGTCTTTCCTGTGCTGAGGACTCCAGAGCTGGATGCAGTACTCTAGGTGGGGTCTCACCAGAGCAGAGTAGAGGGGCAGAATCACCTCCCTCGACCTGCTGGCCATGCTTCTTTTGATGCAGCCCAGGATATGGTTGGCTTTCTGGGCTCCGAGAGCACATTGCCGACTCACGTCCAGCTTTTCATCAACCAATACCCCCAAGTCCTTCTCTGCAGGGCTGCTCTCAATCCCTTCATCCCCCTGCCTGTATTGATATTGGGAATTGCCCCGACCCAGGTGCAGGCCTTGTACTTGTCCTTGTTGAACCTCATGAGGTTCACATGGGCCCACTTCTTGAGGTTTCCAGGTCCTTCTGAATGTCATCCTGTCCCTCAGGTGTGTCAACCACACCACTTGGCTTGGTGTCACCTGCAAATGTGCTGAGGGTGCACTCGATCCCACTATGTCATTGATGAAGACATTAAACAGCACTGGTCCCAACACTGTCCCCTGAGGGACACTACACTTCCTAGTACTACTTCCTCAGTTCCAGCATGCTAAGTATCTTGTCCCAAATTATATGGACAGGAGATCTCTGGCTGTATCAGAAATTCTGCGAGTATTATTTTCACCTCAGTCCAATGTTCTGTCTTCCTGAAATTTTACAAGTTTTATTATTTTTTTTTTAAAAACAATTTATGTTGATTCAAGTACAAGACTCAAATTCCAAATCATGGTAATAGAAACCATAATTGATTACATACCACGAAGACTATCTCAGGTGAACTGCAAGCTGGAAGAATAAATACTAAGGTGGCTCATAATGATGATAAGGACTTGACTATTTAGAGAAAACACAGCTTGAGCGAGATTAAACAATTTTCCCATATTCATTCCAATTTTGACAGGAACCCCTGCTGTGTATGACTTGCACAGAGCACTTTTCTTCAAAAGCTTTTCATGCACTCCCCAAGTTGACCAACTAGAAACAGAAGAATAATTAAGCCTAACAATCCTTCCCTTCTTCCCTTACCTTTCAACCACAGATTACTTGCCTTCCTCCACATAACAAAAATAAAACAAAGCCCTGTAACTTCTAACATTTCAAGAGACAAATTGCTTTCACAGGCCTGATTCTGCAAGATGATGCAAAGGACTCAGTTCCTGTTAAGACTTCAAACAATTGGATAAAACCACCAAAATCTCAAAAGGATTCAAACCTACATATTTTGGTTTGTTACAAAATACAGTAAGGTTCATAACGTAAGACATATTTGCAGTAAATTCATTTTTACAATTAGCAACTGCCACATCTTTCCTTTGGTACTATGGATATTGCCTCTCTCATATATTCAGCCATTTGGTGTCATGCATTACTGCCATCTTAAAATTTTTAAGCCAAGAAGACTTTGATTCTAGCTTCTCTACTTTCTTCTAACAAAGCCCAAGATGTACACTGAATTTTGGCAAGAAGAAGCAGAGGCTCTAACGTAAGACGTATGCATCTGTAACTTTTGCAAACTTCTGCAACCTGCCTTTCTAAAGCTTCTCATTAAACACACAAAACTTTCTGAAATTAAAAGAAAACTTTACCTGGGAGATCTTCCTTTTGTATTAAAAACCTGAAAAATCCATGTTACTATTTACCACAACTCATCATCTCAAGCTTAAAAGCTTCAGGAAAGGATGCAAACAAGAAACTCAGTTTACAAAGGATGCCACAGATTTTTACCAGTTGCTTGGGTGGAAATAGACATGGATCTTCAGGCAGATACTAGATGTGTGAACTTCTGTGCCAAATTCTCTATCACTACGTGCCTTGAAAGAAAATACTAGAACCCCTGAATACAAGTGAGAAATATGTACGAGATACAAGAAAGATATCTGCAGGTAGATTTTAATGGATAAAAAGTACTAAGGAGGTAGTAACCTTGCATCTGTTGTCCAATTTTCTGGCTCCGCACGATACAAAAATTTCTCTTGTTGCACAGAAATAATCTTTCCCTTTCGGACAACAGTGACTAAAGGAAATCCTTTATGCAGAATCCAAGTTTTCATCAACTTTTTTACATCTAGTGTTCCATTGGTAATCTGTAAAAAACAATCATAACATAACAAGAAAATGGCAAATAGACAACGTTTTTAAACCTTCCTCCTTAACTTACAAAGTAAGTAGAAGCATGATTCTGCATCTGTAAACAATCACTTTGAGCTTGTAAATTTCGTAAGCAACAATTTAGGGGAGCAAGCAGTTTTTATTTTCTTAAGTTGAGGGAATCCCAGCCAAGTAGTGGAAAGACAAATTGGAAACATCAGGTAGATTGAACTGGTATGTCATGAAAACAGAGAAGACAATGTTACAGAAAAGCAAGTTATGGTAGCTCCCAAGCTCCCCCCTACGCTTTCTCTTTCCTTATTGGTATTCTGATATTATGTGGGTGTTTCAGGTTAAAAGATCTTCAATTCTAAAATTACTATTAGAAATTGAATTAAAGCAACAGTCTTTGTACAACAAAAAGAACATATCCTTTATAGTAAGAACTCTCTATTTTTTTTTCCACCACCCCTCCCACTTACCAGCCTTTGCACAGTTTCACCTCCAGCCTCTTCTAATCTTTCAGGGACTGTTTGTACTACAACATCCCCACTAAGAGACAAGTACTTTATAATGTCTACATATGACTGCCTCTTTATTAGCAGAGATGACCATCCAACCTGAAAAAGACATTATGTCCCCTAACTTATGAAAATATTTTTTAGGTTGAGCCATCAGGAACATAAGGAAATTAATATATCATTACTCAAACTACATTTAACTTTTACCAACCTATACTGTGTCTTCCTCTAGTTTACCTCATCAGCAACTTACTGCCCACTAGCAGACCTAGGCACTGGCTGGAATCCGAGGCCACTAATAATGGTATCAGTCAACTGAAAGATCAGATAGGTACACAATAATTTGTGTGAGCTACTCAGATTCATCTAGTTCATATCATTTTAATTATTTAGTCACCTATTGGGGGAAAATATTATTGAGCAAAGACTTTCCATTAATTTTGTAGAATGGGTGAACTTTTGATACCAAGGGCAGAGAAAGTAATCAGAGATGCAGCCTGTCAAGATTTGACTGTTAACCAACAGAGTCTGTCTGAGAATCTGAAGGTGAAAGACCATGAGAAAGCAAGAGAAACTAAGAATTCAAGATACAAAAAGAAAAATACTATGACAGAAAGAATACCAAAACAAAGAAAAATGGACATAGCGGCAGTACATTTCACTAAACTCGGAGAGGCAATAGGTGAAAATCAGTGGAAAGTAAGTAGTGCAAAAAAAATGTGGTACCTTCTCAGGGAAGCAAAATAATAAAAGCCCAAATGTAAACTAACTCACTGCAATACCAGACCAGTCCAGCTAAACCATGAGTCTTTGGAAACAGGGAATATGAAAGCGTACAAATATGCAGGCTATGTGAAAACACAAAATTAACACTTACATGAAAAAACCACAAAACGAACCAAAGACCTGGGCACAAAATGAGGTGCAGCCAGAAATGGACACAAAGGAAAAGGCAAACATCGTAAGCAGCATCAGAAAACATCTAAAGAACCAGTTGGTGGGTTCCTCCACACAGAAGGGCAACTTCTGGCAGATAATGCTGTTAAATTTTTGGTAACTATTAAATTAGCACCAAATACAAAAGGTTTTTTCTCCTTAAAATAGGAAATACACACTGAGTTCTGACATCAGATGTTACTAAGTTGGTTGGATGCAGTTCACTTAACAATACTAATACAGGTGGGTGAAGCAATCCCAGAGTTGCTAACAATTACTTTTGACTCTTAAAAGATGATGACTGAGGTTCCAAAAGACTGGAGAAAGAGGCCTACTGAGTTTCCAGAAAAGCTGAACTTGCCCCATGTACAAACACTACGGTTATAATAAAAAAAAAAGAGTTCTTTTCTGAGCCAGGGAGACAGACTAAGCAAGTAATCTAAAGTTTTGAGAACGACTCTTTTCCCATGCTCTAGTAACAGTTAAACCTTGCATCTAGTAACAGCTAAGCCCTTACATTAATTAAATGTGAGGCATCTGTGTAGTTTCTCCAGCCACCCTATGTGGATACTACAATCTCCCTGTGGTATGTTCTCTATGTGTGCATGACTGAAGATGGTTGGTCAGGAGGCTCCATTTTGCAGAGGTTGAGGAGAGGAAAGTCTGTTTTGCACTATTAAAATCACTATGCAAACCAGAAGAGTTCTCTGTCATAAGAGAGCCATGGTCTGATATCAGTAATAACCCATCACTAGCTGGCAAACTAGTGACTGTGTATGACTAAACACACAAATTTACAGCCACCTGTGACAGCTAACAGTAACTAACAGAGGCTCCAGTTCTGCAGAAGTTCAAAGATGCCAAGAGCCAAAACTAAATATTAAGTTAGTATCCTGTCTAGCACTCAGCTTCTGTGAGGGAACCTTACATGTATTTCAGAGACTTTAATACATACTATGCAGTACACACATTCACAGGGAAATCTGTTCCCTTCCTTTATACAACTACCTTGACATTCCCTGGGGATACTCAGCAGATCTTTCTTGTTGTGATCACTCTCACTCTCTCTTGCACATACTCTCTCCCTTTTGTACACTCTCCCCTTGCACTCTTCCCTCCCACTCTCTCCCCCTCATGTGCTCTCTCCCTTGCACTCTCACACGCCCACTCCTTTCTTACTCTCTCTCTCTCCCTCCTTCACCCACTCTCCCTCTCCCTCTCCCTGCTGCCATTTCTCCTGCCTCCTTCACATGCACCCTCTCTCCCCTGCCCTCCCTGGCTCCCATAGGCTTGCAGTCCCTCACCCTTGCTCTCTCCTTCCTGTGTCCTTGCTTTCTTGCACCCTCGCTCTCTCCCCCCCCACCCACTTTAGACACAGCCTAATGCCTGCCTTACTGTTTGAGAGCTGCTGAACTAAATTGTGCCCTACAATCTGTTTTCCTACAATTCCAGCACCGCTTGTTGAAGCAGAAGCTATCACTGAAACAAAGTTACACTAGTAGAGTATTCGAAGACCTCTACAGTACTTGGATTCAGCTATTCCTTGAAAGTAAAATTTTGTCCTGCATTTAAGATGACTATTTTTATTCTGGTCTTAACACACTAACAATGCAACTCTAGAGAGGACATGTACATACTGACATGTCCACACGTGGATATGCATGGTAGTGCATACCCACTTCCAGCGATTTGTAGGATGATACGCAAGGGAGTCCTAGAAGCTACAGGACTCTCCATATCTGTATGACAGAACTTTGGACTACAATGCACAAGAACTTCAGAGTATTTACCAGCAGTGTATTACCTTATTTCTTTCATAAACAAGGAAATAAATCAAAATATACAACATATTTAGAGAAGTGAAAAAACAAGAACAGCATAACAAAGATTGATACCTCATTCATGCTGTCCCACAAATCATCACTCTGGGCAGATCCATAGTTGTGATTATGCAAGTATACCTCAATGCCAGCTTGGAAAACATCCTTAGTGAGGTAGTGCTTCAGCATCAGAAGAAGTGAAGCTCCCTTTAGGGAGAAAGAAAAGAGGAAGAATTGGCAACTTAAAGTTATAGAACTAATATATGCATATTATAGCTCTTTCACAGTACAAGAATGACTCGGAAGCTGGCAGATTTTATCCCAAATGATACCATTTGAATAATTACCTTAACACTCAGTTGCCCTGGAAAAACATTTTTTTAACATTTCATAAACTCCAAATACAGTTACAAAAAAGGCTAATACAGCTTGAATTTTCTTCCCAGTTCCTTTGGGAAAAAAATATTTTTTAATATTTCAAAGGCTCAAAATACAGTTACAAAATAGGCTAATAGAGCTTGACATCTTTTCCAGTTAACTTCATCTCAAAAATATTGCCTTCTTACTGGTAAGTCTCTACTGGCTGCCGTATTTCATTAGCAATACTCTTCTGTGTGGTACAGAAAAAGTACATTCTGACAGTGTTCAAATACAGCCATGTTTTGTTAAAAAAAGCAGTAACTGAGTAGTTCTTGTACAAAGTGGCCGGCCATGAATGCGTAGACAGAAAGGTGCTGTTTTTTTGCTTTTTTTAAACATAGCTGAAAGCCATTTTCTTCCCATAGAAATACTTCTATGTCACAGCCACTAATAAGTAATTTGCCTGAGGATTTTGTACAACTGCATGCAGATGAGCAGCCATAGATCATGAAAAGTTTAAAGGTGCGCTTTAAATTTTTGGTAGTATTTCTGAGAAAGGATCAAGAAAAAAATTAAAAGGAAGATTTCAATGAGAGCATATATGGTTCTTACACATTCCAACATCTTGCCTGAAACTGAAGGCTGCCTGGTTAATCTAATTATTCATGAAACTGCAGGAATACCCTTTACTATAGTTTTTAATAACATGGTCATAATTTCCTCTCTTGCATGCATCCTTACTTAACCTATAGCTCTACTACTTTGTTCTTCGTACTGTTCTGTCCTCCCAAATGCTCTGTTGTTGCAGGTGGATTCTTGCCGCACCCCTGAGTATTAGTTTTACTGATAGACTGCAAAACCACCAGGCTAAAAATAATTTTGTACAATAATTCCTATTACAGACAGTAAAATGTAGAGGCCAACTACTAATCTGTGTCAGTTGGTGGTATACTAAACCAAAGGAAGTTGTACAATTCAATAACAGACCCCCTTAGGCTGATTAGGGACCATGTTGCAAGTGTCTTCCCATGCAAATTGCCAAGAGCATTAGCTAAGGTATAGAGCCAACAGTAGTGGAATACAAAGACTGCATGCATGAATGAAGAGCTATGCAGTGAAAGCCTCTGAAACATAGAAAGCAGCCATGAAAAACCTGTTTCTGACAATGCAAGGGCAAAACTTCTTTTGGTTAGATCCTAAACTCAGAGGTGCAGGTTGCTACATTTCTACTCAGAAGGTGCACTTACTTATTAGTAGCAACAAAGTAATAAAGTAATCCTCCAAATATAACGCTTTACTAATTGAAACTCCAGCGCAATCACTTATGGAATGTTTCCATTAAAATTACATAGAGTTTTGATCCAGCAAAGAGTGACAAAATTGTTATCTCTGAAGTTAGTTGGCTACAGACATGATTGTGCATTATGCATAGCTTCCAGAAGCTCACGAAAAAGGGAACTACTTGAGACAGCAACACTGAAGCATGAAACAACAGCCATGCCTTTTGATACATAGCTTAGGGAGAGAAACCAAATCCATTTCACAACAAAGGGAAGCTGAAAATCACACATCTCTGTTCTTGTAGTTCAGAAAACACAGACCAAAATAAACAGAAGCACATCACTATTGTAGGTCCGTTTGGCATCTTAGACTACTCAAGGATGCCAGACAACATGTGTTGACCAGTTGAGACTTGCAAAAAGAAATCAGAGGAGACAAACCAAGACAGCTGTGGGAGCTGCACTCCACTGAGACAAGGAAGACATAGTATTTGACTGTTTTCTAGTAAGCACTAGCTGTCCCCGTGGTTTCTTAGATGAAAGTACAAGCATACACAGACAGTGGGGGAAAAAATGACAGCTAATCTAAATGATATAAAAGGCTTTCATCCAATACTACCAAACTCATAGGACACATTATCTAAAACCTGGGACAATGTGAGTAAAAATTTGGCAAATACAGATATTTGCACTGTCCCGCATTTTCAAGTGAGGAACTGTGAAGCTTTAAAAAGATAAACCTCACACACAACCCTCACTAGACATTAGAAATAATGAAGTGGCAGGCAACCAGGATATGCAGTGAAATAATTTTACATTCCAGATGCAAGCCTCCAGCTCAGGAATTCTCTAAAATACTGTTTTTTAAAAGCAGAGAGAATATAAAAAGGAGCACTTGCTTCAATAAGTGCCTTGTTGTTACTCTTTTCTTAAGCACTTGTTACAGTCTGCTATCAGAAAAAGAATATATGCCTAACTGCATATTTTGTTTTGCCTGCTGGGTCCCCTCTTACATCTTCATGAGTATTTTATTTTGTGCTGAAACATGCACCAAACAGAAGGATGTTAAGTAAGGACAAAAATACACATACATAATAATTTCCTAATTGAAAGCTATGCAGACGCTCAGAAACACTACTGAGAGATCCTGCATTGTTTGTGCTAGGTGTAAATTACCCCCAAACAATTGTCAGTACATGCCTACTTACTCATGATTTGACATTCATGTTTTCAATAGCTAATGTATAATTTTCCAAGTATCTCCAAATATTTTTAAAGTTACCTTGATATAAGAAAGTGCATCAAACATTTCTTCAATTTGCTCTGAAGACTGAACAGCAGAAGAGACTGGACGTGAAGAATTCAAGGAATCCTTCATCATAGCCTTGAAAATCAAATTAAGAAAATCTTCATCCTAGAAGAGAAACATTCATAAGTGTCTGAGAAGCTACAACATACATGGTATGCAGAACAGTAAAAGTTGTCTCTGCTTTGCTCTTCCATTGATCTAACATGCCATTGCTCACCTTCCTGTCAATGGAGGCAGAAAAACAATTGTCAGGATAGCATCTGTTTTTCTTCCCATGACACATTTTAGCAGTGGAATCTCACTGTCAGTTTACATCATTATCCAGACCCTTAAGCTCCTGTCTCAGGTAAATGCATCATGGGCACTAGAGAAAATAAACATGCCTACTAAGGAAGTATGTGCCCAACTTTGGATTTGGCTCACCAGTGTTTTCAGTTCATTTACAGGAAGCAGGGAATACAAAAGCACAACTCCTTCAGTATGCTTTAATATTAAAGCATGAAATCTAGGGAAATTACTACAGTGATGTTTGTGTGAATGTACACATTATTTCATCAAGACTTGAGCAAGCAATTCTTTATACAGTTTCCTCTATACAGTAGAGAATTAAAAAAAAAAGTAAGACCTGTGTATGATACAATAAAGATACCCTTTAAAGTTTAACATTTTAAAGCTGTTCTTCTTGAATGCAGAAGTCTGGAGTGATTTTTTTATTTTTACCAAAACACATTTTGGCACCACCAAGTGGTGAAATGAGATGCTGGTGAAGGCACCTTGTCAGGCACCTTTCAGAATGAAGTATACAAGTGTTAGATGTGTCCTTGTTAAAACATTAGACTTGTTGTGTGTCCTCCCCTCGCCACATATGCACCCAACAAGCAGAATGGCTACACTATATTTTCAGCGGCCATCAAACTCAACAACCAAGCTAGGCCAAATGAAAAACTTTCTAAACACCCAGAAAGAATTCTACTGAACCAAGTTAGCAACCCAAGTTTCTTAATGCACTAACAAAGGTGAATTAAGAACTCAAAACTTACACTCAGTCAGAATGCTGAGAACATCTCTATCCAGCAAGCAGGAAACAGTAAGTATGCATCAGGTTTTTAATCCCATGACTAATGCAAATCACATAAATGCTCCTGGAAGCTGGTTCCAGAGCCATCCTTTACCCAGGATGCAAAGTTAGTATCTCCACTGCCACCTCCATTTAGTTCCACTAATCTTTGTTTCTCTGTCTGCATTCAGTGAAAGGGATGTTTTACAGCAGTAATTGGTATCCCTTCCTTGGGGAGGAAAGATCAAGTTTCCATCATTCCTGTTTTCCAGAGTCTGAGAATCTAGGTCACTTAGTACCTGAGTGAGTTTTTAAATGATCACTAGGTTATTATATAAAAAAAGGTTCTATCCTTCTGTGTAAACAGAAGTGCCTGTAGGAGCAGTGCTTTGTACTATTAGTGTAACTCAGCACTGTCAGAATCCATGGGGTGGAACCATATGACACTTTTATACCAGGTCCCCTGACTTGTGAATCCCAAACTGATCCAGACACAAGCAAGTACCACAATGATGGAAAGACAGGGGTTATTCCAGGCATATTTAGTAACCTAAAGCTCTGGTGCTTCCTAAGTCTATTAGGAAAAGTAGGGACAGGCAAACTTGGTCAACAACATGCCTGGACTTTCTGTATAAAGATTTTAAGTTATAATTTGATATATAGACACCTACACCTTTTAACACCTGCTATTTTGCAAAGAATGCTTTAACCTACACAAAACACAAAGACTGCATGTAGACTACTACCAAAATAAAAAAAAAAAAACAAAAAAAACCCACGAAACTAATGTACCCTCCCCAAAGACCCCCCCCCAAAACCACTTCCAATATAATGCAAGTGCCAATGCAGAGCAGATATAGTATAATCTCAATGGTGCCCAAAGTGAATTTCAATGTAAGTTTATAAGTATCAGTCCTTTATGGTCAGCATTAAAAAATAGATCTTACTGAAGGTACAGTAAGTGTAGTTACAGAAAATACTTACTGAATGTAATTCTGGAAAAATCTCTTCCATGGCAAAGTACTCCATGAAAGTGGCAAATCCCTCATTCAGCCAGAGATCATTCCACCATTCCATAGTTACTAGATTGCCAAACCACTATGAAAGACCAAAAACATCATTCTTTTGCAGAAATAAAATCAAATGAATACAGTAACACTCCATCCATCCTCAGCTTTATCTTGTGGCAAAATCAAGCTCAGTCAAAACCAGAGTAATGCTTTTGCATGAACAACTCCCTAAGTACCTCATGGCAGAGTCGCACTCTGCCTGTTGTAGGGGAGAAAATACACTTGCAGTTATTCTGAACTGATTCAATGCACAACCCAGTCACAGAGAGGGCTGGGGTGAATTTAAGGACAGAATTGCATTTTAAAAAGAAGAACCCACCACATTGAAACAATGACCTCCCCAAAATAGTACCTGATGGGCAAGCTCATGTGCTATCAATGCAGTTATTAACTTTTTGTCCCTTGCTGAAGAAGTATTACTGTCAAACAAGAGTGTTGTTTCTCGGAAAGTGATCAAGCCCCAGTTTTCCATTGCACCGGACTGAAAATCAGGAATTGCTACCAGATCTGGAAAAGATTTGAAAGAAGCTTCTGAAAGGCTTACTGCTAGGTAAAGCAAATCTGTATTTCAAGTCTACCTATTCTACTACATAATCCCTAAAAGCCTCATTATTTAAATCCTGTGGTGTGGACATGTGCTCACATTTCAAGCACAGAAGCCCCATAGATTTATAGCCATGTTTCTCTAGCAGTACTATGACACAAACAATTTAAAGCTCTACACAGACACTGCCGATAGATCTTGCATACACACAAGAAAAGAGGAAATGGGGCTGCACCTACTGAAAGTAATGTCTTAGAAGACTACATTTCATTATCTTTCCAGTCGAACTAGTACATGCAGAGAAGTCAGGCTGCAGATTTTGCACTGGTGAACATTGTTCACAGACTGAGAATTCTGTATCTCTCTACCAAGGCGCATCACATTAAATTTACACGTAATTATTTCTTTGATGTACAAGTATAAGCAATCTGGTGTTAAAGGCTCACAAAAATTTTCCAGCTTGGGAATCACTAAACACTAGTACTCAGTCAAACATTTAATATTTTTTTTAAATAATTTTGGGGGAACCTTATTTCACAGATGTTTTATGCTATCTTTTTTTTTTTTTAAGCACACCTTTTCAGAATGAAAGTTCCCCTGCATTTCTCAGAACTAATTAGGGCTGCTTCTTCTGTTTAAAAAAAAGTTCAAAAGAACTTACCTAATTTTTCAAGAGGGTAGTTTATTAAAAAGTATTTTTGATAAAATTCCAGAAGTTTCACTGCTGTGTTTAGGGCATACCCAACTTGGTTTAGATGCTGTGGTATGGCATAGACAGATACCTAGTGCAAACAGAGAAAAGATTTTGAAACTTATAGCTACAAAAGCTTTAGAAGTAAAAGAGGAGCCGGCAGAAGCTCCTGAAACAGACAGGACATGGTTTTGGGAGTATACACGTAAGTTACAAACACAAGTTATGAAGTTGTCAATAAAGAGTTAAGTTTTTTATCAGAGCTTATTTACTAGTCAAAATACAGACAGACCATACAATTGACCAATGTGTATGCAGGAACAACTCAAGGCTGACACTTTTAAGGAAGGTGTTCAAGAAGGGTCTACATGAGCAGAAATTGATCCATTTCCTTTTTTACTCCCTCATGAGTTATTAAGCGACCCTCCCAGCATACCTGAATTAATCTGTAAGTTTAGGTTATCAGTATGATAACACTAGTATCATCTGCAAGAAATTCTCTCAAGAAATAATGATTGGCATGAAGTTCATCCATTCCCCTATCTAAGGCAGGGCCACATTAGACCTGGTGTAAGCAGCATTCATAAAAATCAAGAGGTTAGTCTCCCTCTATTCCTGTTGAAGTGGCTATATAGAATCATAGAATCATTAAGGTTGGAAAAGACCCTTAAGATCATCGAGTCCAACCATTAACCTATCACTGCCAAGTCCATCACTACACCATGTCCTCGAGCACCACATCGTACATATTTCGAAGCTGATATACTTCAAGCTGAAAGAAATAAATAAAATAATGACAATTTCTCCTCCCTCCCAAGATCATAATATATATAATTGAATTCTTTGCTCTGGATTGAGAAACTTCATTTACTTGAAGAGAAGATTAATAACCTGTGAGTACTAGGGTAGTTCAGGATCATTGGTAACAGAATGCATTGCTCACCAATTTACTCGCTTTTCTGTCATGATGAGACCGACAATGGATAAAAACCCCATTGTTAATGAGGAAAATTAGAAAATTTAACTGAAAATTTAATCAGATGTCGACTCAAATAACCTCAAAGTGTCTAAGTATAACACATTTGCATAAAAAGTATGGCGCCCTTGGTTGCCCTGTTCTTGGCAGCTCCTTGGAAAGCCGTACTGCTGTTTCTTGAAGTAAGACAGGATTTAGGAGAGAGGTTTGGCAAACCTCCTATGGCTCCCCGTAGCTTTCCTGGAGCTCTGCAGAAGAGTCTGTAAGAGGGAAACAAAAAAAAAAAAAAAAAAAAAAAAATTCCCTCTTACTATGCTACAAATCAGCAAAAAAATGACATTTCAAATAGATGGATAGGGTGACCTTTTAATTTTTGAGTTTGAACCAAGCACATACCAGTAAGGATCTAATCTAGTGTTTCTGAAAGTACAAAAGTATTATCAACTGCAAATTTTAAGCTGAAAAACAAAACATAAAAGCCCCTCAGGATCTTCTGGAGTTGAGAAAAATCTCATTACATTATGAACACAAAGCAACTTTACTTCAACTCTAAGCTATCTTATAACATTCATGACAATGAAGTTATTCTGTTTGAACTGGCTAGCTAAAATGCTTTAAACCCCCCAGCCACAAATTGCTGGAAGCATTTTGAGAACATATTTAATGGAAAATGTCATTATATGCTTCCTTCTTACAGTCTCCCTTGGCCTACTAGACACTGTTTGCACCAGAACAAGCCACTACCAGACTCCAGCCTTATTTGGTATGACCATTCTTATGCTTTCTCCCTTTAAGCTGGCAAGTACTCTTATACATTGCTAGATCCCTTGTGTCTGGTACCTTCTAAAGGTCTGCTGGACTTCCCTAGCTTGGCCAAATCTTGCTTGGTGGTCAGAATGAAGGAGAACCACAGTTAAGAATCACTTCCCTTAGTTAGAATACATCACTTAGTCTGTTTCTCCTCTCCTACATGCCTCTGCCATAAAACACTTCCGAAGTACCGACAATCCACACAAGTTAGTCTCAGTATTATGAATAAAGCAAAGCACACCACATAGTTGTTTTAGGCTCTCTGCAAACACAAAACATTTAGTATACTGATCAATTTTCTGCCTGAAAATGAACTAGCTATATGGTTTTATCACAATACAGTTCAAATACAGACCTGAATAGTGGTCACAAGGGAGGGGGGGAAAAAAAAAAAAAAAAAAAAAAGTAGTGGTCTAACTTTTCAGGTTAGACCAAATAGTCTGTCCTATTCAGCTATAATTAGAAATACTTGTCCAAGTCAGAATCAAAGCCTATTGACCAGTATCTTCACTTCTGTGTAATAGATTGAAGAGAGGGTTGCTTCTTCTTCTGCAGTGCTACTCGCACTATTTCCTCTGTCTCTTTCTAGGTAGGTACTGGCAATTCTGACATTTCACCACAAAGGGGCAGTTCCTGCTAGAGTCACAAAAATCATTGCTCACATGAAACTCCTCCACCTCCTAAAATAAGATTAAGGAGCATCTCCTAGTATTACCATGTTTTTTCTTTAGTTACACCTTTCACACATTGTAGGAACTGCTCACTGACCCTGCAGGCCATATCCCTGTGAAGGACAAAGATTAAACAGGACCAACTGTTTGATTTTTTGGAACCTTTGGAAAAACAAAAATCCCACAATGAAATAACTGTATTCAAGTGACTAAATGCAGATTTAAAGTTAGTCTAAATTTGTTTTAATGCAGGGCAAGGGTTTTTTTTAGGTAGGCTATCTTTGCAGGTATAGAACATATTTGCAGCACTGCCTGAAACACTATGTAGGCTTCCCTGGGAACTGTAATGTTTCTGTACATCATTTGAAAGAGCTCTTAGTTTGCATGACATTACTCCCTCACAGATGAAGCGTTAAAACTAAAAGATTAAAGCTTCCAGCTCTGAAAGCTCCTAGAAATTTTACAGTTTGTAAATTTCCAGTGTTAACAAGACCTGATGCTGTGTCATTTGCCGTAGAAGTCTTCTCAATCTGGTATATGCCCTGAAGTCAGTCCAACCTATAGCATATGTTTTTTGTCTGCTACCTATGATGAGTACAATAAAACTAAGAAAATAAATGAATTTAAAAGAGACAGAGTTTGCTTGTTGGTCTGGGGATTTTTTTGTTTTGTTTTGGTTGGCTTGTGAAGAGTGAGGGAGAACTTAAAGTGGAACAAACATACCAGACTCCCATTAGTTTCCTTACTGATGTTTTTCAAGTCTGCAACAACAAAGGCTACTAGGTAGGTACTCATCTTCAAACTCACAGAAAACTCATCTTGAACAATTCCATTTGTCACAGGAGTAGTGGCTTTCTGCAGATGAACGGAAAACATTGTTATTAATATAGACAAAAGAACACTAAGACATGCAAGGAATCAATGTTAAATCAAAGAATTACTTTACACTAGGAACAGTTTATAAGCAAACTTGCAGAACATCTTTATATTTTGGTTACCTTTCAGTGGGATAGATGATACTCACAACCTACTCAAGGTGTAACAAAACTTAAGGAGACATGGAACATTTAAGCCTATATATCCAAAAATTATTTGTCAAGCTTTTCTTATGCAGTATTACCAGACAAGTGCATCGTTGGAGAAATCATTAATCTAACTGTGTTCACACTTAAACCCCCAGTATAATCCAAAGTCTACATAAAGATTAGCATTAATTCAAGAGAGCTTTAGGCTAGATCAGAGACACAGTTCAGGACAGCCTACTAAAACTACTGGTATTGCATGAGTTAAACGTTTGTGTCTTTCCAGAAGCCTCTTCAAAACTAGGTAAGCAGACATACTCATTATTTTAAAACAACAGAACAAAAATACCCGTCACACACCCCCTTGCAAATCAAAAGAGATTGCATTTGAAAAAGTGAAGAAAACCTAAGGTTTCAGTTAGTTCAGAGCAAAAATGCACCCACCTTAAACACACACTGCCAAAAGTAGCTGTCTGCTCAGTCTTCTGAAGTAAGATACCATGGTGTATCCTAAACTACTTTTAGTGCAGAAGTTTTTCTTTAATATTAGTCCTCAAAAGGCATGCTACATGCATGTACTTTTCTGTATAGTCCTTCACAAACATAAATTACATAAAGAATAAAGCAAAATGCTTATAAACCACTGTAGTGCAGAATAGTAAGGGTCTGGAGACAGGGATGGCAGTTCATGTGCCATCTGAAACTTCATAAGTAAGTTTGTTTCCAGAAACCACAAACATTTAAAAAACAACAACAACCACCTTAGTTTTAGACAAAATCATTTTAAACTGAACAATGATTTAACTGCCACTGCAAATTTAACTGTCAGTCTTAAAGAGGAATAGATTATTAAGCCTGAAGACAGAATCAATATAATCACCTAGTCTGAGCACTCTGTATGAACAGAATGCCATCGTTTAATTCCTTCAGCAAATTCATAAATTTCTGCCTTTACTACAGGTTCATCTTCATAAAGAGGTGACACCTTTTTTAAGAAAATCTACTGTGGCTGCAGATAAACTGGTTCAAAAATCAGTTATCCTCATGTAAAAAAAAACAAACCAAACCAAACCAAAAACCACAAAAGAAAACACCATAAGCCCAAAACTCACACAGTTTGCTTCTAGCCTTAATGTGTGTCAGCCACTACATATTGCCATATTAGTGATGTACATGCTAGCTGAGAAGGCCTGCTTCTGAGATATCTTGCTCATGTGCGTATTTATAGAAAATGATGAAGTTCACATTTAACCTTCTCTTGGATAAACTAAAAAGTCTGTCCATCCAGCATAGCTTGTTACCAAGACCTGCAGTTATTACAGAAGAATCTGCACCACTTTTTTTCCTAACAGGAGTTTAAGTGTTTATTTTCAGAAGCGAGCCTATTCTAGTAATGATCTCACAAACGTAAACTACTTCTGTACAACATGATCTTCTTACTCTTTTTTTCACACTTCTTTCTTTATGCATACAAGAATCAACTCACTCGCATGTACTTAATGCATTGTGAGCCCACACTACCTAACAGAATACCTAATCCAGGCTAAGTCTAAAACGTAAGAATTCAGCATGTGCTAGAGCACTTGTGAGATCAGGGACAAAAGCATGAAATAAATCACAAAAACATGCCAATTTAAAGAAGGTTTGCATATAAAAATGGGTACCATTACAAGAGAACTCACTGATACAAGAAATACTGTTGAGGTAGTTCACTGTTGTATCTCACAGAAATGCACGTGTTTAATTTCTTTATTTGTACAGTCACAAAAATAAGGATTTTATTGTAACTCACACATGCAAGTTGTCTTGACAAATTACAAAACCCAAAGGAACCACTTCTGAAACCATTAACAGACTGCATGTTTGGATCTCATATAATAATAAAAGAGGAATTTCACAGTATCAAATTATCAGGGCATAAAGTTAGGGGACAAAACAAAAGAAAATAATATCGTTTGCAGTATAAACACAAATGAGTAATTATCTTGGAGATACAGTCCATTAGCAAAACTATCAATTCACTTGCTCTGAATGTTCTTATATCATCTTGATAAATTCTAGTTAAACCTGACCTATTCTTCTGACACAAGAACTCGCATTTTGTCCCCAGCACTAAACATACAACTTCGTTGCTTTTAATGTCTTTTTTTTGTGTTATCTTTGTTCCACATCTGGAAGCTTTCTCAAATCTTTATCAATCATACAGATGGTGTAAAAGCCAAGTTTTAAAACAGAGATGGAAACAACAGAAGAAAATGCAGATGAAATTTTGAATATGCTCTTAAGCACATTCTCACTATAACAAGCTCAGTAAATGTTACAAAGAGAAAAAGACTAGACAAACAGGAAGTTCAGTGAAAAGAGTCTGATACCAACAACAAATGCAGCAAGACAGAGAAGGTGGGTTAAAAAGCAGAGAATCAGATGATAGAAAAGCCTGACAAGATGGGAAGGAAGGAGAATTCTCAGTCTGAAGGAAGCACAGGACCTTCCTGCCTATGGCACCTATAGAAACTTAAATGTAAATGGGTCTTGAAGTAAGGAGGAAGAAAGAGATTCATTAATGACCTTACAGTAAAGGCAGCTCATCAGTATGTTTTTGCCATGTGGATGATTCCTCATTGTGCATACATGCCAAGTATGCAACATTAGTATCCACAGACAGCACCAAAAGAGCTACTGGATGCTTTGTAACAGCACTTGAACAGGGATGGACGAGATGGGGAGCAGCTCCTTCCTAGCCACAGAACCCCACAGGTACATGCTTTGCAGGACTGCCAATGCAAGGCAGAAGTTATGGGAGGATGCAAGACTAAGGCAAGCAAAAATCTGTCTTTTCCAGATTTAATTCACACACCCTGAGGCATGAAAGTCAGATATTTCCAGACTAATTAGAGGAAGATTCTCTGGCAACAAAAATAACTCACTAAACAAGAAATACAGACTTGCCCTTTCAGGCATGTTGGTTGGACCAGTTAACTCAAGTCACAATTCTTGGCAACACAGAGCTTGGACTCCAAGTAGCTTCTCTGCAGATTCTCTCAGGAAAGCTGAAAAGCCTGCTCATATCTAGTGACACTCACTGTTCACTGCATCAAGTGACTCACTTGCATAGTTTGCAGGAAGACACAATCTGAAATCTCACAGTCTTGCCCAATGCCACAAACACATGCAGCAGTTTCCCAGACAACTTCTTCCTGTCCATGCAAAGTTGCATAAACACCTTGCACAAAAGACATAAAATCTGAGTGAAATCATATGAGAAATTAAGGAAGGTGATGGAGGGGCTAGATTAAATGACTTAACAAAGCATTTACTATAGAAGGCAGCTTGGACGTGCTGCACAACCACGTAGGGTGGGAAAAAACAAAGGAAGTAGATATGCCTGCTGCTACTGTGAGGGCCCTTGCTTATTCTTCTAGAGAAGTCTATTACCACAACGGGCTTTAGCAGACATACTGAAGGATAGCAGGCAGGTAATTGCTACCGAAATAGTAGCACCTAGCAACCCCAGGACACACCTCCTTGCTCTTGAATTGTCGCCAACCATTTTCCTTCAATAGCCAACCACAAATGACAGTGAAGAAGAGTTGATGGTTATTTTGTTTCCACTCCATCTGCCAATCATTATCAGTCAAGCTGGCAACCAAGGTGCTAGATGCCAGAGGTACACGAGATAATTCTGTCTCAACTAATAGGGACGAAAATTGTCACAGAATATCCTTTCTCATCTTCTCGATAACAATGTCATCAAAGATGAGCAAGAGAACATACAGAATATATCAAGATTAGGATAGCAGCAAACATTCTGTGGTAGTGTGGTGCAGTAGAACAGCTGAAAACAAAAATAATCCTGTTCTTTCAGAGACCCATCAGTGTCTTTCAGAGTACCCATCATCTGTGGAAGGTACACTGAAGAACAGGATAGACTTTTAGGAACTATGTGCAATTAGCTCAGCAATGTCTGCTGAACACGTGCAGTAACGGTAAACCATAGTTTACTTTTTGTACGTGAAGAACTATGGAAGCTATTGAAAGTTGTCTTAGCCACTTGTCCAACTCCCAGCAGCGGAAAGTGAGTGAGCACCCTTTCTTGTTTACATAAAACAGGAGAGTTGTCCACCAAAGTCTGTTTCTTCTTTCAGTGAAGAAAAGAGCAGCAAACAAAGTGCTCTTAGGCCTGGACGTAAACTAAAGTGCTGCAATCCTGTTACAGTAGTGGTTGAGAATCACCACAAATCCAGAAACATAAACATTCATGCATGGTGAAAAACATTATTTTACAAGGTTGCAGTTACTAGCTTGGTTTTCAAAAACAGGGTAGCTACATCAGCACCTGAGCTTTTGACAACCTTCCGGAACCCAAACTGCACAGTGTTGCTGTTCCACCAACATCAAGGGTGTAATCTTTTTCATTAGTAGTTAGGACAATGTCAATGGGTTTCAGTTGGGTGATAAATGGTGGTAATGTTTTGATAAGAGACATCCTAGTTCAGACACAGACTAGGTAATAAGTTGGTCTTGCTGGCCTGTCTAAATGAATTAGGCTTCTATAAAGGTTCCTCCAAAGACTTAAAGGCATAAAGCATCACCATAAAATTCAGATATGCTCTTGCTAGATTTTGCCTGAAAACACGTAGCTGAAGGAATTTCAGATCCCTCATTCATATTCTGGGGTTGACTGTGTATTCACACCCTACTTCCCCTCATTTAGGCTCAAAAGCACATCCTTCAAGATCAGGCATATCTTTCACTATTGCTATTTACACAATAGAGACTATTGCTAGTTACACAAACTATTAAGATATTCCAGTATTCTGCACATGTGCAATATCAGCAAAAATAGAAAATTCAAAAGATAATCTTAAGGGCTGTTGAGACTGATGTAGCCAACAACAGAACTCCTGCAAAATAATGATTCATTTAAATTCAACAGAAATCCCTCCCATACCCATTTAATTGTTCCTACAATAACATCCTACACTGTGCAGTGCACTGAACAGTTGTTTTCTCTACAAAGTTACTTAGTTCAAGTCTTTGAGGAAGAGAGAGTTGTTTATAAAGTCATGCAGTTTATAGCTTATCTGCTCAAGTCAATCCCCTGGACATTAATGCAACAAAAACACAATGCAAAGCACTTAAACAGATTACCTAGGCAGCAGCTCTACTAAAATTCCTCTACAAAAGCAGGTACCTTTGGCATATTTGACAGAGTGCAAAGTTTCTCATCTCTTTTGATCTTGATTAAAAAAGTAGCTTTAAATGCTGGTTCGTCAAAGCATGGAAAAGCAGACCTTGCTGCCAGAGGTTCAAATTGAGTTGCTGCAAACCACCTAATGGGAAGAGCAGAGAAGAGCAAATTAAGAACTATGAAAAGGATAAATGTTAGTTTATTTATGACAGAACAGTCATTTTCCCCCAAACCTTGTAACAGCTTATTATGGGAGAATGGTAGATGACAGGGTTGGTCCAGTCAGAATAAATGTTTCATTAACAAAGGTTTTTTTTAAAACTCAAAAAATGCATTTATTTGACGACTAATCTGCTTGGGTTTTTTGCATACTTAACAAAGAAGAATACACCTGGAATAACACAGTTACAGAACAATCACCAAAATATAAGCCAGCTGCTTTCCACTAAGAGGGAACAAAAAGAAGATTGAAAAATTAAATTAGTGAGCACACCCACTAAATGAAAGTTTTGAAACCTCAGCAGCAGATCGGACTACAAGGAAGCTTTTTCATCTAATTGTCATGCATTCTCCTGCAGATGCTGCCACAGGTCATATAACTGTATGCCTGCTCCCTTTGCTGGCTAGTAGATGGATTCTGTGTAAGTTCATGCACTGTCTTGTCTCTAATCCAACAGCTAGACATATCACAAGAGAACTTCTCAGAAGTCTGTGTTCCTTCTCCAGTATTTTGATACTAACTAGCTGCAGAAATTACAGCTTTTCCTAGAGAGCATCTCTGACTTGTATTCTGCTCCTGCAAGACAACCCTGGGAGCTCAACAAGAAGTTTGCAGATGTAAGTCTTGTATTTATGGGAGCTAAACAGTGGAGAAAACAGTGGTTCACATTGCTTTTTTCTTTTGGTTTCTTTTTTTTTTTTTTTTTTTTTTTTTTTTCCCAACTACTGCCAAGCTACCCTCAAATTTTGGGGGTTTTTCTTTTCTTCTGTACGATGACTCCAACATTTTTGGACCTACAACTTTTCTGAGGAGGCACACTGCTGACAATTCATAAGATTAATCTCTATGCCTGCTTTCAACTTCTTACTCTTCTTTTCCCCTTCAGTGACAACCTTGATGTTGGTGCAGTTTCTTTATCTTTTTTCCTTCACCCCAAGATTTTACAGAATAAAAACAAACAATAAAGAACCATTCCGCATAAAAATATAAATAAGGCCCCACTTTTTTTTTTTTTATTAAATTTGCATCTGGCAACAATGAGTTATTTTGCCATCTGATAATTTTAATGTTTTTGTGGCAATACAACAAAATCTTCAAAAGAAAATAAAACTAAATCAGGAGAAAAGTAACTTTCTTGCAAAAGCAACTTGATAGCTTGAGTTTTATACAGAAAATGCAATAACAACAGAAGTTGTCAAAGTGGCCTGCATTTGTAAAACCACTGACATTAAGCATACAGGGACAAAGACCCTGGAAATAGAAGAGGCAGGCAAGGCAATGGAAACAATATCAGCAAAGAGTTATCTCAAAAGGATTTACTGAAAAGCATACAAGTTAAAGCATGTGCTACATCCTGTTCCTGAACACAAGCAGGTACCACTGGACTGAAGAGGGACAAAAACTCAAGAACTTCCTGACAGATCATCTTTTTCCTCTGCAAACACCTAAATTTTGTCTTTCTACTACAGTAAATACAAGGAGAATACAAAGCTTTAGCTACATCAGAATAGGAAAAACATGGAAATTCAAAAAGAGGCTAATCATTCAAGTGATTTTTGCCTTCTACACTTACTGTATTCTTACTCCCACTTACTTCATGGTAATGCATGTCTTTAACATTTGTGATAAACTACTTAGCTCTATTTCATTTCATCTTGTGGTTATGTTCTTCTGATGCAACCTACACCCTTTGTGGTTCTTTATTATCAAACACATTCTGCAATGTGAGAGACAACTTGTGGCATTTTTGTTATAATGATGGAATTCTGAAGCCTATCAGCAGTTTCTCAAGTGGCAGCAGATTCTTTCTAATGATCATACACACACTATAATGTTTTAGTATATGCTCAGGAATGGTCCTTTCATAAGAGGTTTATCAGCAGCACTTTACCTGGGGGATCTGAACAGTCATCTATGTTTGTATCTCAGTAAAGCACACCCACCTTCATCAGAGATGCAGGCAAACTGAAATAGATCAGCAATCCTTTAACCCAAATGTATTTCTTAAAATTCTTGATCTCTTAAAGAAAGCCCCTGAGACTACTTCATGTGAGGACCAAGAGGAACACATGGGAGTAAAGAGAAGAGAGTTTCTGCCTTATCTCAGTTGCTGACCCATTCAAGAACCCACTTAATACTCCACAGTTTATCTGAATGCACCAGGTTTTGCATATATTTGAAACCAACTGTTGCAGCTGACTTATTTTCTTGTACAATTCAGCACTGTCATAGACACACTAGGATCTAGATAAAGGGAGTTTTAAAGGCAAACTGTGAGTAAATTTTAGAAAAATAAATTAGTTTTTGTTTAAATGCCTGTTGTCAATTCTTACAAGAGGCCTGCTGAATCTGAAGCAAAACATCTTGGGTTTTTTGTTTAGAGAAATACATCCTTCTTATGTTATGCAGCTTCCTAACAGTCTGAAGTCATCTTTACACTGAGTATCTTGTTTTGTTTATTTTTTTAAAGATGAGCTATCATTGAGGGACTTAAATAATTCAAAAATTAGCAGTGTATAGTTATCATATCTTACTGGAGAGAGAAAAATTATGACGAAGTTTGCCACACGTCTGTTTTATTCTTCAAGGAGTCTCACTGAAAAAGTTTGCAACAGCTCAATGAAGGGTCTTGTTTTAAGTAACTGAAAACAAATACAATCTCAGCATGATCCTCTTCCCAGAGAATAAGTCTATATTGCCAGTTTGTAAAAGGTTGGGTTGGTGGCACTAATTGTGAGTTCTGTCTTCCTCTTTCAGGAAGCAAAAATCTACTTATTAATATTGTGGAATTTCCATACAAACTCTCTGTTGTTGCAAAGATTTGTAACACTGATAACATTGATTTTTCCTTTACATTCCATTTAACCTTTTTTTTTTTTAAGCTTTAGATCTTAGCATTTCTTAGCACAAGCTGGTAAGTGTTTTATGTCTTTATTTAGCAGTTGTTTTGTGGGCCCTTCAAAATTACTTTCCAGTCAGCTGGTCCTGGACTGACCCATACTGCTCTTTCCATCTTTCTTTTATTGCACCACTCTGTTTCTAGAAAATCTGCATGGACAATTACATGCCAACAAAGGCATGAACACTCTTAAGTACATGACCAAGGTAACACCCATTTGAAGTGGGTGGTAGTGGGCAGCGATTTCATTAATCTTCTTGGTAAAAAGCACTGATTTACCCTTCTTAAAAATGAGTGTGATATTTCCCTTTCCTCCAGTCACTGGCCTGACTGTCATGACTTTTCAAATATGATTGAGACTGGCTTGACAAGTGCATCTGCCAGTTCCCTTAGGACTGTGGGATGCATCTCATTGGGTCCCATGGGCTTGTGTATGTTCATGTTCCTCAGATGGTTTTGAACCTGATCTTCTCCTGTGATGATGGGGTTTTGTTCCCCCAGCCCCTGCCTTGAGACTCAGGGACTTGAGAGACATGGAAAGAATTCCAAAGAGAAAAACTAAAAATTAAACAAACAAAAAGCCACACTATAGCTATCTACAACCACTATACTGCATTACAGTCAACAGATGGAGAGATGGCCCTGACTTAATGAACTCATCCATGAAAGACATTTTTCAGGTACATTAATCAGGAGATTAAAGATCGATTTTGATCAGTTGCAATCAGTTATATGAAACATCCAATAGAAAAAAAAAACAAAACAACCCTTGTTATTTCTATTATCAAAGGACAATCTAGAAGTGACATAAGAGAGAAGCTGCATTTGTGGGCATACCTTTGCTTAGAATTCTCATCCTTGTAAGAAATTTTGTAAAAGCCATAATAGGTATCTGATAAATTAGATGAATATTCTATGTTGACAGTATAATTCTGTCCTACAAGGAGAGCCTCAGGAGCCATAACTGCAATCTGGTCATGCAATGGATATTCCAGGAATTCAACTGGTTTTGCTTGATGCCCTCCTGCCGAAGTAATCGTTGCCTTGGTGATATTAAGTCCTGAGCTGTGAAGTATGATCTTCCAAGTTACCTGGATGATGTTAACCACTATCTTTACAGAGCCTGCAAATTTCAGAGTAGTTAGGTTTGGCTGCAAGACAAGATCATAATGCAGTGGTACAACATCAGGAGGAAGTCTAATTTTTGCCCATGGAAATATTTTTCCATTGGTTGCCAAAGGGTATATTATTTCCATTGTATGATTTTTTTTATGGCAGCCTTCTTTGGTAAAGGTACATTTGGGAAGAAGGTAAATCACCATTATTAATGAAACTGCAATCACAAGTACAACTGTGCAAACCACCATGGTCCTCGTAGAGGGCACTGAACATGATCCATTTGGATTTTGTCTATAGATAGACATGTTATTCCGGAGACCCGAACTTCTGTTCATGAAGGACATCCCCAGCAATTTTGCTGATGACTCATAATCCTCTTCATCATCATCCATTTCATGCTCTCCAAGGCCACGCACCAAGAGCCGGGAGCTCCTTGGTTCGTATTCCACTTCATCAGGCTCCAGGGGATGTAAACAAGGCTCTTTTGCCAAGTCAACCACATCGGGCTCTTCTTCAAACATACTGTTTTCGATCATATTCCTGGGTAACTGAATTCGATCTGAAAACGAAAAGACCATATGTTACATGATAAACGAAAGGCATGATTATAATACCTCAAAGATAGTTTACTGAATTACAGAATAGGAAACACTTTTACAGCACATATGATCAAGAGCTCTTCAATTTTCTCTCTCAGGTTTGTTTCCAGAAAACATTTCTGTGCTTTTCTGCCTACTGTAATTTTTCATTCTGTATCTTCAAAAGGATGCTTCCGTTGCACATACTCAATCACATGTCTTGCACCGTAACTGGGGACCAGATATATCACTGCATAGCATTTCCAGTTCGTTGATGTCAGTACCTTGGCTACATTTCCTCTAGCCCAGTAAACTATATTTGTATTCAACGAAATTAGTTAACATGGAATATTCTTTACATTGCAGGGTAAAGTACAGGCAGCCAATACAGTTTTAGAGGTGTTTCTGAATATGCTAGTTACTGAGTTCTTTAATAAGGGAGAAAATCTGCCAATGTGCTTGCAGCTACACATATAAAATATCCATTTGACATTTTTAAACCTCATTTTTCACACACACCCTGAAAAAGATAAAAAATATTTCTCACATAAAATGGCAGTATAAAAATTACAGTTCCAATTGACATCTTCATTTAAGATCTAGATCATACAACCCTTGAAACAATCCATACAGGTAAGAAGTTAAATCAGTGCCAGTCAGACCGTCTGTCTCCATAAAATTTGTCCTTTACAGATAACAGATCACCGAACGTAAAAGAAGAATTGAAATTAATATCAAGTTTTAAAAGCATATTCTCATAACCTACATGCAGTTATATTTTAATCAAACCTCTGGTCATGTCTATGACTATTTATGTAAAAGGTTATCTTTCAGCTAACCTGCTCAGTGGAAAGTGGAAAAAATTAAAAATACCGTTGGAAAAAATATATACAGGGAATGGGACATGGACACCCAAAAGTAGCTAACTTAGGAGCAAGGAACTTTTTTTCATACTGTATTTCATCCAAAGCACTATAAACAACATAGAAAGGATATTGATTGGCTTTTGTCAAGGCACCACAGAGCTGCCTAGAAAGCAAAACAACTCAAATGGAAAAGACATCTGTATGGAGACTTCTCTCCCCAAATGCCCAAGAAATCCCATTACCAACTTTTTAGGGCCTTGAAATTAAATTACACTAATTTGAATTAGTCCCCTGTCACAGCTTCTGTCTAAGGGACTAGACAAAACTTTTGTCCAACTGCAAGGCTTTAGCAATGAAACTAATCTCTTTCAGACATGAAGGTCTACTGCTAACTGAACAATAATCACATCATGCCTCTATCCTCCACATTCTGTGTTTTCAGAATGAGAAAGATAAATTTTTCTTTGGATCTAAACATACTGAAAAGTAGGGTGACTTTTATTAATTTCTGCCAAGAAGGTACATTTTGCCAATCTATATACTGCCTAGAATATCAGTGTTCCTATAATTTATTGCTGATTTTATCTATATTGCTAAGCTCCCATTCAATAATTGAGGATAATATTATACAGAAATAAATTACATGAATAATTTCAGGAATATAACTATATATAGCTGCTTGATAGGACTTAAAATGTTGAAACGACTGATGGAAGATATTGGGAGGGTGAAGATTTATAGTTTGGTAGTATAAAGTCAGGTTTCCATATGGCTGAAATTTTCAAAGATGAAAAATAAACATCTTAAAGAAAAGATGGCAAGAATCTTTTCAAACCAGATATATCAAACTCCTCAACATTTACTCTAAAATATATCAAGACTTCCTGTTTCAAGGCCACAGACTTAGAAAACTATTGTGTCAGTAGCCGTAACACTGAAAAGGATGGAGCAAGCCCACATTCTACCATGCCTTTCTCTTTGTGTGATATCTGTGTATCAAACCTCTAATGGTACTTGCCTGCCACTTATTTCAGTTAGACTGACAGACTATTCAGATACCTTCAAAACAAATAATAGCTTCATGAATCAGCACCTTGCACCTCAAAGAAAAAAAACTACTGCATTACTTTAAAAAACGTCAACCTTGAACATTTCTCTGCAAAGGCCTTAAAATAAGAAAAAAGAAAATAAAAAATCATACCCCACAGAAGTCAGCAAGAGGAAGGTGCACTGGTCAATCTGAACAAGCAATATGGAGATGGATGAAAGCAGGGAGTTTGCTGGAATTTGGCTCTACCTGCTCATCCTTTGTCCCATTGTAAACACGCTGCTCTGACTAGGAATAGGATCATAGGGTCACAGGACACCTGAGGTTGGAAATGACTTCAGGAGGTCATCTACACCAACCTCCAGGCAAAAGCAGCTTCTAAAAGTTTCTATCCTTATAGCATTTCCCAGCACAGTGCTCATGTTCCAGCCTGTGGGCTGTGGTTGCAGTTCACTGGTTCAGCACTATGGTCTCTACATTGGAGCATGAGCACTCATATATCAGATTGGCATCCTCACAGAGTAAAGAAAGAGGACAGAAAGCTAAGTTCCAAGTGAAAACACATGGACAAACCAGTGGAGAAAAAAAAGTGGAAAGACAAAGTATTGTGCAACGGAAGCTCTTTTACAATTCCTCTACTCAAGATTATTTTATCAAGAATCCACTAAACTACTTCTAGCAGAGATTCTTGTTGATTACTCCCGCAGCTGGCTGCTTTTCAAATCTGCTGGCTAGCTTCAATCAAATTTGAAAACAGAGTCAAGGCCAAGTTTCTTCAAGTCCCAACACAATCCCACCCCAGAACAACCAGCTGCTGGTGGAAGACACCCAAATCAATATCTGCTATGTAGAAAAGGCAGGTATTAAGACTCACATCTTAACCACTCCAAAAGGTAGCAGCCAATCAGTACACAGCTCCAACCCCAGCCATGGCATGTGCTGCTGCATGGCCAGCAAAAGAGGTAGAAGACAGGGGAGGCACTGCAGAGGGAAGGAGGAGAAAGATAAAGAGCATAAATCTGGCAGAAAGTAAGCTTCATCAGCTCTGCTGCTCATAGAACATTCTGTGTTTTGAAGAGCTTGTTCTCCAACAAGTTTCTTCTAAAGCCAACTACCTTAATATTTTTAAAGTTGCATGCAGGCAGTGATAACTCTTTTAGTCAAAAAGAATTATACAAAAAATCTCAAACTGAAACCAAGATAGAAAAGCTAAAACAAAAGTTAGTTTCCAGGCAATTCATAGTTTTAATACCTAAGAGATATTCATTTCTAGGAAAACAACAGTTAAAACCAATTTCTACGGAAGTATTTGCAAAAATTGGAAGCAATCAAAGTCTTGGTTGTTCTGTAGTGCTGAAAAACTGTATGATCAGAACTCTACTGAAGACCAAGGGCATCACCAGGCTACTATTCTCCACTGGAAAGCACATAGACAAAGTATGAAAAGGTTACTGGAGTTATTCATGCTGACATATGCATTCACAGAAGCATAGAAATCAGGCTACTTTTTGGAGAGGAACCATGGTAAACATGTTTAAAGCTTTTACACTCAGATAAACTCTGGACTGTTTGCTTCCTAATGGTTCACTAGAATTTATAACATAACAGTGTGAGTCATCACTCATGTGAATTGAACTCTTATGACCTTTCAGTTTTAATGCATGAGCTGCTACAATATGAGCTAAAAAGCCCATAGGAAGGACAAAAAAAAGTATTCTTAAACTGAAACAAGCCATAAGGAATAAGCAGTAGCCTGAGGAACATGACTGCAACCATGATATTTCACTGTCATCTTTCGCACCAAGTATGGCCAAGAGGTAAACACTCGCACTGGAAAACATACTAAAAGTACATTAATTCAGATATTCAAGCAGATTAATTCAGATTCCAAATATGACGCAGGAAAAATTAGTATACCTGCAAGACTAGGAAACTTTAACCTGTAAAGAAGCTACATGGTTCCAGTGAACTACCACTGCCATGCCAGAGGCTGCAGGTGCACTAGAGGCATTTGTGGTCATGCTAGTCCACAATTAAGGAAGTACTCATCTGAGATGCTAAAATGAACTACAAAAATTATCTGTCATCAGGCATGGCAATTTTAATCTAAATCTTTACTAAACATAAGCTTAGAGTGAGAGTGAACAAGAAGGTAAAAAAAGCCACGGGGCTGAGTCTTGTTCCTCCCTAATTAGCACTAATGAATTAGTAGGTAAAAGCTTATACGCACCCAAGTAAAAGCAATTTTACACAATTCTTCCACAAATTTGTAATCTGAAAATTAGAGATTTTCAATATCTTCCTCAATACGTGATCTGTTATCACATCTAGCAGAGAACAATGTGAATACTCACAGTTTAGAAACAATCCCGAGAAGAGATGAGAAGTTAAAAACCTAAATGTGATAAGACTAATCCAGAAAGCTAATCCTCCTAATACTGCAAAGCTGAAGGAAGGCAGACATTTTTCTCAAAATCGATGGTTTTGAAAAAGTTTCTTTAGAGCTGCCTCCTGCAACGCAGATGCCCAAAAACCCATTGCAACATATCTCCTCATTACAATATTCAGGGGACCATAACAAGTCCAGTCTGTTGTTTTCTGAAAAGAGGACAGAATGCTGAGACATGAAATTTAAATGCAGTTTACAACAGGACAAGCCAACAGTACAATAAACTTGCTATATGTACTGCATCCTTTGCTAATGTGAACAGCACAGTCTTATCTAGGTCATAAAAAGTAGCATGACTTAAGGACACAACAGTGAGTAATTAATCACAGCTAAAAGCTAAGCTAAAGAGCTTAAACCTAAACAGAGGGAGGTCCTTTATCCTGTTCCTACAAGACATACTTCTTTCACTCCTATAGCCTTTCCTAAATTAGTCTTTTAACTTAGAAAGCAACTTCACTACAATACTCAAGTTCAGTATAAAACATGATCATGCAGGGTCAATCTGTGGCTGCAGTAAAACTGTCTAGCATTTGCTCCAAGTATTTATTTTGTCTGAAGAGCTCCATTCCCATTAACGAGGAGAATGTAAGCTTTC